GTTAATATATTTTATTACCCAAACTGGTTGGCCTAAGCGTATATGTGTCGGAGTTGATTGGCCTAAACAGTAATAATGCAAATGAAATGGCATTCTTTCGGATATATTCGTATTCGTTTCGGAACTAAGAATCGAAGAACTGGAACTAACATGAAGTGCAGTCATAAATTAATGTGGTTAGCTGAACAAACAGAATGTTGGCTATTAGCGCGGAAATGGATGAATGGCCATCGTGGAATGAAGCGACAAGCGACACGACTCCAAGCCAAGCCAAGCCAAGCCAAGCCGAGTCGAGCCAGACCAGACCAAGCCACGACTGAGCAACAATAGAGTCGTGTTTTGTTTGTTTATGTTTATTGATTGTTCAGCTCGATGACTAGGCTAGATATACGACTACGTATAAAGTGGGTAAGACGCGCTCGCAGAGGCCGCAGTACGTTGGCTAACTTTGAACCTCGCAGAGCTCGGATCGCGTCGATCGTCGCGCTGTGTGAAAACGAATAGACGAACGAGCATATATTTGGATTAACTGGAGATAATTATACATTATAATTTATCAAATTTACAAGTGTTTGTCCACTGTGTGCCACGCTCAGCAGATATGCGAAATTTTGTAAGCGCCAAGACGACCTTGTGCTAGCCACGCGAACCGATTCGATCCACTTTGCTGATCCATCTCTTTCCCCTCTCTGTGCCTCCCGCAGCTGTTGATCACTTGGCTGTGCCTGGCGCTGCTCGGGAGTCAGCTGGACGCCCGGCTGGTGCGGGTGCGTCGCATACGCCGTCTGGTGGGTCAGAGCGAGCGCTATGCCCAGATCACGGACTATCGGGTCTCGCCCCTGGACGAGCAGGGCATCTTCAAGTTCGCCTTCAAGACCAGCAACGGCATCGATGTGCAGACAGCGGGCAGTGCCCTGGAGACCATTGGCATCTTCAGCTACACCTCGCCGGAGGGCGTGCCCATCGAGACGCGCTACATAGCCGACGAGCTGGGCTTCCATGTGGTGGGCAAGCACCTGCCCCGGCCGCCGCCCACGCCCAGCTACATTCTGCGCTCCCTGGAGTACATACGCACCCACAACGAGGACGGCAGCCCGAAGGCCCCAACACTGTGAAACACGTCGTAGCTCGTAATCATTCCGAAGAAGGCTGATAATACCGTGTAGTAACCTGCTAATATCTACTGTTAGTTCTCGTATAGCTTCTAGATCGTGTCACCTGTTATAAATCATCTGCTCCACACACCCCTCCACAACTCTTACATCTAAATATAGCTCCAAAAATATAATCAAATTAAACAAAGTCTTGTGCGTCTTTCAGTTTTGGTCTGATGACCCCAACAAATCAGCTCTTGTTACGAGATTAGCCATAAAAACAGTTAATATGATAATCAAATCAGCTTTTTTTTTATTATTAATATTAATGCTCCTACTCAGAAATCGAAGATGAGATTCTCTTTCGATTGGCTTTTCAGTTCTTTCCGGGTACTAAAGTAGTCACTGAGTATAATGGAATGATTTGTGGTCGTTGATTGCTTTGAAACATTTGTCAAACTAGTTAGCAGCTTGGGCTTATCGCGAGCCATGAAGCGTGTCTTCTAGTCTTAATTATCGGCTAATTCTTATTTCTTTTCTTTTTTTTTAGGGGATAAATCATATTATTAGGAAAGGCTTATCATTAAGAATCAACATTTTAGCTAAGAATGCATACATAATTTGTATTTATTTTTAGATTCGCAATTCTATTGAGATTTTGTTATAAAGTTTGCTTAAGTTGGATTTGATTCGCACCGTAAGAGAGAGGGAAATAGAGAGAGGGATAGAGAGAGAAGGAGAGAGACACAGAGAGAGAGAGAGAGACAGTCAACACAGGGGGCGCAGCTAGAGGGAGCAAAGACGAACGAGCACAGGTAGCACCAGCATATGGGGAGCGAGCATTGGTAGAAGATGAACAAGTAGAACCACCGTAGATAGGGGAGCATAGGGAGAATGAACGGAAAATGTTCTGTAGAGACCCATATTTAGGTATTGCCCTTATTACGTATGACTATAAATTACATTAAAAAATTCAAACATATCTCTTTGCCAACCAATAAAAATCATTTACCATGGGTAATAAAGTTTATCCTCTTGTTTTATGTAGCATCCACTGAAGCTCTTTTCTATTTCATTAGAATTTCCCTTAATTATGAAAATCGAATAAAAGATGTCGTAAGAAACATTTGCCTTTTTCAAAAGACAACACAAATGCCACAAGAATTAAGTTTTATCCGCAGATTTGTTTATGTATAGTAATTGTATAAATATATTTAATATTAACTTTGTATTGTACTTTTCATTCTTTAGTAGAATAAACATGCCAATTTTTTCCTCAATATTGCTTTCACTATGTATTTTCAATTATTCATTAATTTATTCCTAATTTATTATACAGAAAAAGCATTGGCTTTGCCAAGAATAAGACTTAATGAGATTTGTAGATTAGTCTTTAGTCTCCTTAAACAGAAATTTACAGCAAATGGTTAACTTGTGTGTTTCATGAACAACTTTGAGGCTTATCACTTCGACTGAAGCTAATCCTCAAGCATGTTTCCCATCTACAAATGCCTTACATTGAATGAGAGACTATATACATATATATGGCTATACTATATGTCTATAGGTAACACATTAAAAACCCCTGTATTTTTTTTTACACTATATTCCCAATTTCGGAAAATATTAATTGCATTTAGTGAGCTGCATTGCCATCAAGTTCATTGCGAGCATCTTTGACCCGCCTCCTTGGCATCGGGCCACAGAGAGAACTCATCAATTTCTCAAGCATTCGCAATGATCATTGCGATGGCCAATGATCATACTTTCAGCTGATGATCATGATGATGAAGATGTTCTTAAAAATAGGAAGGCGACGTCGTCGTTCTCCCTGTGGACGACCACGGCACTTGTGCAGAGCTCTCGCGCTAATTTGCTTTATGATAGACATGAAAGATCAGCATAAATATATCTTTTTGGAGACAAATTTCTTGGCTTCCCTTGCGACGAGTCGTCAGTCTTGCCTTGGCGCTTGTGCGGAACGGTGCGTTGTCTCCTCTTGCAGCAAGTCCTTGGATATAGTTTAACTAGCCGATACCATCAAGTGCAATATCCATCCTATAGATCTCTGGATCGATCTATATATATATTTCCTAGTGCTGTTGTTGGAAGCTCTTATCGAGTCTGTTGACAGATGTCGGCGATTGATTTATAGTTATCATATTGTTTGGTGAATGATGTGGAGTGTTCTTATCGCGTTGACAAATGTGGAAAAAAGTTTTCAGTTTCGCCTGAATCGAGTCTACATATATGCAGATGAAGTGATGCTGTGCTATTTATAAAGCCGCCTTAATCTTAATGGATTTTTATACCGTCTACCTATACACATCTATATTTTCAGCCTGCGCTCGCCTTCCAAAATGTTCTGAAAGAAAACTAAAAATTAATTAATGGCTTGTTATTTTTAAAAGAAAGAAAAGAAGAAGAAGAAGAAGAAAGGAAAAGCTGAGAAATCCAGTTTCGAGTGTGCAAAGGTGGAAAAAAAAAAATAGTTTCGATCGAACACATATATAATACCAGATTATAGTCCGTGGCGTCAAAATGCCGCGAGCACATTTTGCTTTATGTCTGCTTGGCTGCATTGCACTCTCTGGAGGTAAGTGGGCGTAGTCCTAGGCAAATATCCATCATAAAGATCTCAAATATGACAGCTCGAAAGCCTTTCGGCTGCACATTTCTTCGCAAAGTGATAAATAATTTGGGTATATTTTGAAATCCCGAAACTTGTAACCTCTTCCTAATGGCTCATAAAGATATCCACATGTGACCATAAAAACCATTTGCTATAACAGCCATGAGTAAGAACCAGATACACGAGGTTAGTCACAGAAGATGTCCGAACTATATTTTATGATGCCATTGGTTCTCTACTACAAAGTCGTAAATAGTCATTACCCCGCTCGTGGTTCTACCTATACATATACCTATATATTATATATATCTATATATATTTAGAGATCTGTTCACCTTTTTTATGATATAGCGATACATATAGGTGATATCTAGTTCAACATATTGATGATTCATGGCCAGCTTGTCGCTGGCCCATACGTCTTTTGCGTTATGAGAGTCCCCTTAGGCCAACAAATAGGTCTCTCCACTTAATTACCGGCCGGAATTTACAAACTATAAACATAAACGCGCATCGTAAATTTCTGTGGAGATAAAAATAAACAGAAGCATAATAAAAATTGTTTTAGCAAAGTTTGGGAAGAGCTCTTCGTAACGCCCTATCAAGAAATTTGTAGAACTATCAGGGCGATCGTTGAGCTAATAGTTTGACTATCGTATTAATATTCAAATCGTATAATTCAGTAATAATTTCCATAAGAAATCTATTGAACTATCAGCGCGATGGCTGTGCTAATAGCTTGAGTTCGTTTTGATATTGAAATCGGGAGGTTTACTCAAACTTTGGTAATCGTCGACAGTTGCGCACGCTGTCTATGAGGACTGCCAGACGCCGCCGCCGGTGGATCATGCTCGGGCAGAGCTGTACGTGGATAAGGACATTAACACGGCGATCTACGTCTGCTCGAAAGGTTTTCTGTTAGAGGGCCCCACTGAGCTGATTTGCAATGTGACAACGGAGGAGTGGCAGGGCGATCCGCCCTACTGCTCGCCAATGTTCCGCGATGACGAATACTACGATGAGTACGAAACGATCGATGATAAGGATCTGGAAGACGATGCACTGTCAGCTGAGGGTGAGGATCCTGTGGCGCCACCACCACCACCGCCACCAGTAGAGAAGGAGGAGCAGGAGCGGCTGGCGGAGATGGAGGCACAAGCGGAGGACGAGGAGGACGACGAGGATGAGGAGGACGAGGAGGCAGCATTGAACCCTCAGCCATTGGCTGAAACGGAGAGCATTGCTGCGCCAACGGCTCCTGCTCAAGCCCCAGCTGTAGTCGAGCCAACAATTGTGGTGCACGTGGATGAGCCACAGCCCAAAGAAGCGGTGCAGCCAGAGCCAGAGCTGGAGGCAGCGCCAACAGCAGAAGTTCATCATCCTGTTGCCGGAGTTGCTGCTCCTGTTACGGATATCAATATTGTTGTAGAGCCCACGGAGGATCCGTTCACACCACGTCTCCTGGACGAGAACTGCGGCGAGGATCGCGGTGGCTGTGCCCACAAGTGCGAGCGTCTGCTCTTCCCTGGCGAGAACGAGCCAAGGCTGAAGTGCAGCTGCAACGAGGGCTACACGCTGGATCCCCAGGACTATGCAACCTGTCATGGTGAGTCCCTATCTCTCTCTGCCTCCCTCCCGCCTTGTCTACATTCTGTGCTTCTCCCCTGCAGACATCGATGAGTGCTTGGAGTCGAATGGCGGCTGTGCCGAGATCTGCAATAATCTGCCCGGCACGCATGAGTGCGCCTGCCGCAAGGGCTACCAGATCCAGGCCGACGGCAGCTGCGCGGGTGAGTGAATACCAAGGCTGCCGTTGCCTAGAGTCTTAGTATCCTTCTCCTCAGATATCGACGAGTGCGCACAGCCGGAGGTGCAGGCCGAATGCAGCAACGCCTGTGAGAATACGCCGGGCTCCTATCGCTGTGTCATACCGCTGGACACCAAGCAGGAGCTGGACAATGAGCTTGCTGGCGATCCTGTTGAGGAGCCGAAGGTGGTGGAGGAGCCAGCTGTGCAGAAGCCCAGCTGCAATGCAGGATTCGTGCTCTCGCAGGATGGCCAGGAGTGCCAGGACATCAATGAGTGCGAGATCGTCGTGGAGGACAACGAGAATGCGGATCATGTGCCGCATCGCATCTGCCAGCAGCTGTGCGAGAATACGATTGGCTCCTATCGCTGCAGCTGCCGCGAGGGCTTCCACCTGCAGCAGGATGGCAGCAGCTGCGTGCCCGATAGCTGTGACGACCTGGACAATGCGCAGCTGAGTCGCCGGCGCTGCGCCCATGAGTGCGAGGATCTGCCCAGTGGCGGCTACGCGTGCCGCTGCCCCGATGGCTATAGGCTGGCCGAGGATCGGCACAGCTGCGAGGAGCTGGAGACGGTGTGCAGCCGGGAGCAGGGGCACGAGCGCTGCCGGCCGGGCAGCTGCGTGGCCAACGAGGCCAACGGCACCTTCAGCTGCCTCTGCCCGCCGGGCTATGCCAGCGACGTGTACAGCTGCCAGGATCTGGACGAGTGTGCCCTGGGCACGCACAAGTGCAGCCACGACTGCTTCAACACGGCCGGCGGCTATCAGTGCCTGTGCCCGCGCGGCATGTCGCTGCAGGAGCCGGAGGGGCACACCTGCGTGGCGCCCGACCCCTGCGCCTTCAACAACAACGGCTGCGAGCAGCTCTGCCTGAGCGCCGACGGCGGCGCCTGCACCTGCAGCAAGGGCTACGTCCTCGGCGCCGACCAGAAGAGCTGCCAGGATGTGGACGAGTGCGCCGTGAACAATGGCAACTGCCAGCAGCTCTGCCGCAACCTGCCAGGTGCGTATGAGTGTGTGTGTGCCCCCGGCTACGAGCCGCTCCAGGCGGAGGGCCTCGTTGGCTACTGCTTCGACATTGACGAATGCGCCAGCAACACGCACAGCTGCGACTCGAGCATGCGCTGCGAGAACCTCAACGGCTCCTACACCTGCCTCTGCGCGCCAGGCTATGCCTTGGGCATCGCAGCTCAATCATCATCATTAACAACCTCATCATCATCATCTGCATCAGCATCAATTGCTTTGCCCGCTTGCCTGGACATTGACGAGTGCTCCATGTCCAACGCCAACTGCTCGCATTTCTGCATCAATCTGCCTGGCAGCTTTCAGTGCGCCTGTCCTCTGGGCTTCAGCCTGGCGGCGGACGGCCGCAGCTGCCAGGACGACGACGAGTGCCAGCTGGAGAACGGTCAGTGCGCGCAGCTCTGCTTGAATCAGCCTGGGGGCTTCGCTTGCGCCTGCCAGCCCGGCTTTCAGCTGGCGCCCGATGGCTTCGCCTGCCTGGACATCGACGAGTGCGCTGTGGACTTTGGTAATTGCAGCAGCATTTGCATTAATCTTCTAGGTGCGCACGCCTGCGCCTGCGAGCGGGGCTACGAGCTGCAGCCCGACGGACAGAGCTGCCAGGATGTGGACGAGTGCGCCGGCCTGCTCTCCGGCGGCTGCACTCACGAGTGCATCAACAAGCCGGGCAGCTACGAGTGCGGCTGTCCGCTGGGCTACCTGCTGCAGGAGGACGAGCGCAGCTGCCGACCTGCCCTAGTGGGCTGTCCGCCCGGCTCCCGCCAGACGGAGCAGGGCTGCCAGCCAATCGAGTGCGCCGTTGGCCTCCTGCTGGGCGCCGATGGCCGCTGCGTGGACATTGACGAGTGCCGGCTGAACAACGGCGGCTGCTCGCACACCTGCCGCAACACCCAGGGCTCCTACCAGTGCGTCTGCCCGGCTGGCTACCAGCTGGCGGCCAATGCGCGCGACTGCCAGGACGTGGACGAGTGCGCCCGGGCCAACGGCGGCTGCGAGGGCAGCTGCATCAATGAGCCGGGCGGCTTCCGGTGCGAGTGCCCGCCGGGCAAGCGTTTGTCCTTTGACGAGCGCAGCTGCTATGAGGTGCCCGCTATCGAGCCGAGAGTAGCGCCATTTCCGCTGGCTCCTAGAGCGCCGGCTGCTCCTGCTGCACCACCTGCACCACCAGTGATGCCTGTGCGACCGCTGCCCACGCTGCGACCGGTTACATTCTTGGAGCCCACCGTCACCCCTTCTGTCGCCAGTGCCCCGCTGCCACCGCTGCCGCCCCTGCCCACTCTGCCCATTCAACCCCCTCAGTCCGTACCCAGCTTCCAGGTGAGAGACCGCTGCCAGCGCTTCCAGGCGCCGGCCAATGGCCAGGCCCATTGCAACCGGTATCGCCACAAGCGCAAGCTCTTCTACAACACGCGCTGCAAGGTGCGCTGCAATCCGGGCTACGAGCTGATTGGCTCCGAGATTCGCAGCTGCGGCGCCTCTGGCAACTGGGAGGGACAGGAGAACAAGTGCGTGCGTGAGTATCAGACACAAACACTCTCAGTTGCCTCCTAATCCAACACTCTCTCTCCTCTCCTTCTCTCTCTCTCTCTCTCTCTCTCTTGTCCTGCAGCTGTCTCGCAGCCACGTCTCTGGCCTTCCATAGCCACGTCCCGTGCCCAGTCCGGCTGTCCAGCGCTGCCAACGCCACGCAACGGCATCATCTCGCCCGCCAGCTGCACCCTGGGCCCCTCCAGCTTCGGCTCCATCTGCCTGCTGCGCTGCAACATGGGCTACGTGCAGGTCGGCCCAATGTCCACCACTTGCTTCAACGGCTGGTCGCTGGGCCCCCTGGAGTGCAAGCCCCTGGACTCGAACTTCTTTGGCGCCCAGTTGAGCACGCAGCTGCCATCGCCCTGGCAGCCGCAGCAGGCCTTTAATCTGCCGCAGCCTCAGTCGATTCAGCGGCTGCCCACCCGACCCTACATCAAGTGCCCCCAGAACGTGGTCATCCTGCTCGGCCCACTGCAAAGCAGAGCTCATGTCATACTCCAGCGTCCGGCCACGAATGTGGACTACCGTCATGTGATGGCCTTTCCGGCCTGGGCCAAGCAGCTGGAGGCTCATCTGCCCGCCGGCACGCACAAGATCGTCTACAGGGCGCACGATCCGGCCTCAGCACTGAGCGCGGCCTGCCAGACCATCATCACCATCAAGCGGGCGTCGGCTCCCAATGCGTTGCCCTCGCAGTTCCCCAGCTTCAGGCCAGCTGCCATGTCAGCCTATCGACCCGCGCCCGTGCCCGAGTTTTCATCGAGACCTTACGCTCATCTCATTGATGCTCGCTCCGAGAGCCTGGTTGCCCAGCCACCGGCAGAGCCGATCCCAGTTTCATCTGCAGCTTCGCGATCTGCCGAGAGCAGTCGCATCGATCTGGGCTCCTCCTCGACCCGCTTCTGTCCGCCTTCCTTTGAAGTGCATCTGAAGGAGAACCAGAATCTGCGCTCCGTCGTCTGGGAGGAGCCGCGCTTCGAGGGCAAGCTACTGAAGATCTACAAGTCATCCGTGAGCATGAAAATGAAATGAATTCAATTCGATTCGATTGTAGGGTCAACTTATTCGACTCGATTCTCTTCCTTCACAGTTCCCGGGCGCTCTGTTCGGCAGGGGCGATCACGAGATCCGCTACGAGGCCACCACCACGGATGGCCGTACGCAGCTATGCAGCTTCCAGATACGTGTGAAAGGTAAGCTAATCGCAGTCAAGTGCAGTGGATAGATAAATACATATATTTTGTGTCTCGTAATGCTTATATAGCTGCTGCCCCAACTCCCCCGCCCGCCCCTGCCGAGATTAGCTACCCCGATCCGGATCTACCCAACGCTCCCGCTGCCCTCACCCAGCCCTCGCCCTCGCACAGCAGCCTCTTTGCTGGCCACGAGTCCTTCGTCGTCTGTCCCGGCAAGGAGCCAGTCAGAGTGACCTCCAGCCAATTCGTAAGTTCAATTGCGAGCAACTGCATCCAAGATCACGCCCGCAGCCAAAGCTTATACTAACTGTAATGCGATAGAACCCCTGAAGGTTTGGCTAGCTGCCAATGCTAACAGCTACTTGGGTTTCTCTATCTGTATCTATTGCCAAGTTTGTATCTCTATATATCTATACATCTATCTATATGTATCTATATTTCTATCTCAATTTTTTATCTGTATCTTCAACTAACATCTTCAACTCTATCCCTCTTTTTCTAATAGTATATATGTTTAACTATCTTGACATCTCTTTCAATCGATCTCTCTCTTTCTCTCTCTATTCGTACTTTTATCTAGGTCGATCTGCCCGTGGGCTGCACTCTCAAGAACGTGCGCCCGCAAACGTCAGGCAAGACGCATCTGAAACGCGGCATCCTCACCTCGCTCAGGCGTCGATATAATCATTTCTAATATATTTATTTTTAATTTTTATTTATTTTTTTATATAATAATGAACATTTGTAAAATTACATGCATTTCTTATGAATATTTTTTTATGCAATTTATTTTTGTATACTTTTTATGTGTAATTTAAATAAATACTTTTATGAAATGTATTTTTAAAACTGTTCTTTGTTTTAAATAAATAGCTAATTTTATGGGAGTATTTAAATTTTGATTATTAAGATTAGCAGAAGGTCAAAATCGCACAAGAATCACAGCTTCATTGCTTTAAATTTGTGATAACTGATAGATATCTTGAATGTAATGCGTTCTTCGCTTTACATCACGAAGCTTTAAGCTTCCCAAAAGCCCCGTTCTCCAAATATGCTGATAGCTCAAAAATTCGGTTTGTGTAAATTTGATGGCATATTGCATCAGATTTCTGGGAATCAAAGCGAACCACAAAAAACTCTTAAACGTTGACCTTGTGACGCCGCGGAATGCATTGCTGCATAATCTAACACAGAGAGCGAGATAGACATAGAGATGGAGATAGAGGCAGAAAAGTACCTAAAATTTGATAGCACTCCTCATGGTACATTTGTGCTTAAGGTACAAATTTTACTTTATTTTAATATTGTTTAAATAAATCTGTTAATTTCTAGATAAATAAATAAATAAAATATATTAAAAATAAATATAATATATGGCTATATACAATTTATTGTATTATTTTATAATTTTTCAATATATTTTTTTTTATTTATAATTTATTATTTATAATTATTTTATTTAATTTATTATTTTAATCTAAAAAAAAATTAATTACAAAAAATAAATTGATGTTTCTTTTATTATGTAAAAGAATATTTGATTTTAATTAATATTTATAGTTCTTGATAGCAATAAAATTGAATTTCCAGTCAAAAGTCAAAGCTTTGCATTTTCTTATTGGATTCTGGTACAAGCACACTCAAGTGCGGCGCCAGAGCTGAGTACTGCAGATGCGTTCCACAAGACACGTTCCACACACACACAAAACGAAAAGGCGGCCTCGTTGATTGAATGAAAGCTGATTTTGCACACTTTGCCAGTTTGTTGGGGCAGTTGGGCGGGTCAGCAATCGTTGTTGTTGCTGCTCACTTGATAAGCAGTTACGTGTGTGTGTGTGCGTGCGTGTGTGCGTGTGCCAGTTGCTGACAAACCGAAGACAGGTTGCCGAGCTAATCAAAATATTATTGTGGAACTCAAACTAGAGCTGTGTTTTTAGAAAGCTTCGCGCGTATTTTAAACTTTATTTACCTCCAATAATTGAGCAGAAATGCCGTTGAACTCGTTTGGCTAGAACTTGTCATTAGAATATTGATTATTGAGTTTATATATTGTTATTTTTTATAGCCCATAAAGTTTTTTTTTTTATTTTTATTTTTTTGCGAAATTTGAACTATTGAAAAATACCCCAAGCAGAGCATATTCCAAGATAAGAATTATGTTCCACTAGCACATAGTACTCACGCGCTCATATAGACAACTTAATGATCTATACGAAGACGCCAGCTCAGCTGATAACCCTACGAGTGCGATAGATTCGACGATGTGGATGCTCGGCGCTCCGATCGCCCTCTCCGTACTCAGTTTTGGTTGTTATTGTTGATATTATTGTTGACAGAGATTAGCTACTCTGGCTACTGTGCGAGTCTATAAAAGCGCCTGAATAACTCAAATGCCAAATCAGTTTTAACTCGTGTGTTTTGCGGTGCGTTTGCCTCAGTTTCGTTTCGTTTCGTTCCGTTCCGCTTCGCTCCGTTACCATTCGCTAATAAGCTAAAGGTTTTTTTGGTCAATCGAGTCGTACAAAATGTACCAACGACAAGTTTCCTTCGATAAGGTTCGTAGACAACGCAATTCCTAGTTTATATATAGACCCAATAAAAAAAGTGAAAATCATTTCAAATTAAATCGTAAATAATTAGTTGACGCAAAGTGTTCAAAATATATGACAAACAAATGCAGAGCATTTATTTGAATTTAATTGAATTATCAAAGTTCAAAACAATAGCAATTTTTTAGATCAAGCTAATCTCTCTACAAATCCAAGGAATTGTAATTATTAGAGAGTTGATAATCTGGGTTCAAATTCTTGTCTTAGACAATGAATCTAGTTATTGATGTTAAAATGATTAATTTTAGTGCTAAATTATATAGGTTTATTAGACTCTTAAATGCAAGTAATTTAATAGATGTACAGGTTTATTTATATAATCTTATATAGAAGAGTTTCTAAACCAGCTTTTAAAGAAATTAAAATTCCTAACAAAATTTGTTGAATATTTATAAATATTTGAGGGAGAATAATAATGAAAACTTTTTGAAGCGTTTTAGAACTAGTTTCTCTAGAATATTAAAATTAGAAAAACAAATTGGTTTTTAATGGATATATTGTATGTATATATGCACAAGTATAAACATAGATCTTTGTTTGCAAAAAGACAACAAAAATTCTGTAGTGAATTTCACAATCTAAAATTCAACATGATCTAAATTAATCGACTTGACTTGATATACATGTGTAGAAACTTATGATTTTTAGCAGAAAAAGCAAAATTGGAATATTGTGAATGAATATATAAGTTAATTATGATTTGACTAAATTTGGAAAGCAAATTCTTTAAGAACTTTTATTGGAAATCCTATGTATAACATTGCTAGAACTTTTGATTAAATAGATAAAAGCAAGACAATTCTTAATATTTCTTGAAGTTATACATGGATAAAGACCCAACTGCCCCCAAGTTCCCACTCAGAGTTCAGTTTAAGCAAATCCCGAATGAAAACTTGATTCTTACATTGTAATATTCAGCAAGAATCAAGTCTTAGTTTAATTTAACCATAGAAAAGATAATATCTCTATGCATATATATGTTCTCAATAAAAAGCCAGTTTTAGGCTTTGGCCCTGCAGTCGAGCATTGCGGTTAGAATGGAAACCTTCGATATGCATCAAGCTAGATCTTGGTTTGAAGTTAACCTTTGTAACCCGAGTGAATACGAAATATGGAAAACAAAAACACAACAATGCCATAAAAATTCCCTGACGCTAATATCTGTTTGCAATGCCCAAGACGCAAAACCATTTAGCATCTCACATACATACATATATACACATATACATATATACTTATATGAATAGAGAATGCAATTATATAGAACATTAGTTTCGATTGATTGATGGACACTTCTGCTGATGCCTAACTGATAGCCTAGTCAGACTATTATGCAAATGGATTAGTCTAGGAATTGATAAGAGCTCGTATTAACTGCTTTGCTTATTGTTGTTGTTTTCTCTTCGTCGTTGTAGCCAACCCGCATTGAGGACTCCGCGTACATAGCGGAGGGCGTGGACATGCGGGAGGCGAAGAACACCTGCCTGCTCTTCTCGCCCAAGGACTCGTCCCTTTCCAGCGGCGCCCTGGCCAATACCCTGGCCATCTTCAAGAAGCACGACATCAACTTGCTGCACATCGAATCGCGCTCGTCGCTCCGTGTGCCCGGCTACGAGTTCTTTGTGGAGTGCGACGGCAGGTCCGGTGCGCTGGGCAAAGCCATTGAGGATGTGAAGGAGCAGTGCAGCTACTTCAACATCATCTCGCGCGACTACAAGGACAATGCCACGGCAGTGCCCTGGTTTCCACGCCGTATACGCGATCTGGATCGGTTCGCCAATCAGATCCTGAGCTACGGCGCCGAACTGGACGCCGATCATCCCGGCTTCACAGATCCCGAGTACCGCAAGCGCCGCAAATACTTTGCGGACATCGCCTACAACTACAAGCACGGCGAGCAGCTGCCCCACGTGGAGTACACCAAGGAGGAGATCGAGACCTGGGGCATCATCTTTCGCAACCTGACCAAGCTCTACAAGACGCACGCCTGCCGCGAATACAATCACGTCTTTCCCCTGCTCGTCGACAATTGCGGCTTTCGCGAGGACAACATACCCCAGCTGGAGGATGTGTCCAATTTCTTGAGGGGTAAGTCGAGCTCTGAATACATACTAGATCTGCTGATTGAACTATGGATGGAGCTATACGGCAGACTTGATATTTGAAATTCCCTCAGGACAAATTTAGATATACAATATTTTGATGTCTCTCTCTATCTCTCTCTCTCCCTTTGCCAGACTGCACGGGCTTCACTCTGCGTCCTGTGGCTGGTTTGCTCAGCTCTCGGGATTTCCTTGCCGGCCTGGCCTTCCGCGTCTTCCACTCCACCCAGTATATTAGGCATCCCAGCAAGCCTATGTACACACCCGAGCCGGATGTCTGCCACGAGCTGTTGGGTCATGTGCCGCTCTTCGCCGATCCAGCCTTTGCGCAGTTCTGCCAGGAGATTGGCTTGGCCTCCCTAGGAGCGCCCGATGACTACATTGAGAAGCTATCCACGGTAAGTGGGCACTCTTACTCCCCCCTCTCTCTCTCTCTCTCTAAGTAACGTTTGCTCATGCAGATCTTCTGGTTTACTGTGGAGTACGGCCTGTGCCGTCAGGAGGGCGAGCTGAAGGCCTTTGGCGCTGGTCTGCTCTCCTCCTACGGCGAGCTGGAGTATTGCCTGACGGACAAGCCGCAGCTGAAGGACTTTGAGCCGGAGGTGACGGGCGTCACCAAATATCCCATTACACAGTTCCAGCCGCTTTACTATGTGGCCGACAGCTTCGAGAATGCCAAAGAGAAGACCATGTGAGTTGGGATTACATTGATGATATTCACTTTGATTTCGATCTCAAATTTCAATTGGTTTGCAGCAAATTCGCCAACTCCATTCCCCGCCCCTTCGGCGTGCGCTACAATGCCTACACACAGAGCGTGGAGGTGCTCGACTCCAAGCATCAAATCTCCAATCTGATGAACAACATCAATGCCGAGTTCCAAATACTTCAGAATGCGATTGTCAAGCTGCGCGTTTAGATTAAGAAATCCCCACTCCCTCTATATATACATATGTACCTATGCTACTCTATAACCATATATGTATGAAAACGTATAATATACTCTTCTTTTTCACCTCTTGTTTATTACAACACGTGGGTTTGAATTATTGATCTATACTATATATACATTCACTTTATATAGGGTTCTCTACACATATCTTCAAGAATTATGGAATACATTTATATACAGGCTTAAGCTGAGTTTTTAACTAGTTTGTATAGGCAAGTACAGGTAGTAATTACAGCTAATTGAAAGCCAATTCATATAGATGTATATAAATATACATATAGGCTATATAAATATATTTATTTATTTATGATTTAAGCTCTTTGCATTTGGCTCTAGATCAGCTTTCATAGGATGGGAATGTGAATAGGTTATATATTAATATATTCAATACAAAGCAAGTAAAAAACTCATAACTGGAACAGATTTTAATACAGCTCTGTTTATCTATAGATTATATATACGTATATAACAGAACTTCGAGTTGTCAAATAATAAGAACAAAAAATGTTTTTTTTTTTTTTGTTTTTGTTTTTGTTTTTAGTGTTTTTTGTTTAATATTTGAATATGTTCACAGCAAATAATTCAGTTGCAATCTCAACCTGAGTTTTCGACTTATCAACTAGATATGTATATCGTTAGCTTAAAACGAGACGCAGTCTTTAAAAATAATATATATACACATGTATGTACGTATGTATATTCCAGATATATGTATGTATATAACGGAATGATATGGTATTTGTAAGTTTTCTTTTGTTTTAGTTGCCTTTGACTATATGTACATGGAAATGTATGTGTGTGTGTGTGTGTGTGTGTGTATGTATATAGTTCTGAGAGATCCCTTGTGTGCGCCTTTGGCACTTACTGGTTTAATTGCAAACGTTGGGCTGATTTTTTTCCTTTTCCTATAACGATCTTTCACTAAACTAAAACTAAAACTCAATTTTTGAGAACTTGAGCTTAGAGTACGAATAATATAGAGCTTATATATAGAATATACATATATGCATATATATTTAGAGTGAATTAAGGATTAGCGCAATACTCAGTCTGTTGAGATCTACAACTAGTTGTGGCTATTGTCTATGTACGCTAAAGAGAGAGCCGTGTGCCGTAGGACTTAGAGAAGATTTATATAATACAGCTGCCTAAATATCTATATAACATATGTCTGTTAGCTATATCTATATATATGTAAGACATATGCATGTCTTTGTCTATGGCTAAGTTTTAAGGAATTTCAGTTGGTCAGTTCAGCGAGGCCACGCCCACTTGCACTATTGACTACTGTTCGCAGTGTGCGGCGAGCTGAACAGACTTTGTGTTGCCTCCTGCCCCATTGGATATGGCAGGATCTCCAGATCATTTGCCAGCTGACTCTGACTCGAGCTGCCAAAGGGATTCGCAGCAAAGAAGTTGCTTGGCTGCTGCTGCTGTTGCTGCTGCTGCTGCTGCTGTTGTTGCTGTTGCGTCTGCAACAGTTGCTGTGAGACCACAGGCTGTGGCTGCAACAGTTGCTGCTGCTGCTGTTGCTGTTGCTGCTGCTGATTGCTGCTGGTGCTGCGCATCAACTTATTGTCCTCGCTGTGCGTCTCGGAGCCGTCGTCGCTGATGCCCATGTGAAAGTTGAGCGAGGCGCCCGACTCGGTGGCCATTTGCATGTAGGAGAGCAGCGAGTCTTCATTTGTGTTCTCTGGAGCATTCGAGGTGTTGTTGTTGTTGTTGTTAGTGTTGCTGTTGCTGTTGTTGGCATTGTTGTTGCTGTTGCTGTTGCTATTGCTGGCATTGTTGGCATTCGTGTTGCTGTTGCCGCTGGCGTTGGCATTGCTGTTGGCATTGCTGCTGTTGAGCTGATTCAGCGACTGCAGCGGCGACAGATTGAGGAAGGCATCAATGTCTTCGATATCCTCCCGCGACAATATGTTGCTCTGGCTGTGCTGCTGCTGCTGCAGCTGCAACTGTTGCTGCTGCTGCTGCTGTTGCTGTTGAGTCTGGCTCTGTTGCAGCTGCAGCTGTTGCTGAGTCTGCTGCGGTTGCTGCTGCTGCTGCAGACTGTGATTGTGTTGCTGCTGATTGTGCAGATTCTGCTGCTGCTGCATCATCATCTGCTGGTCCTGCTGATTGAGCATCTGCTCCGAGTTCAAGGCGAAGCCATACTGATTGAACTGAGGCTCGACAGCATTGCTGCCGCTGAAGTTGAAGTTACGCTGCACATGATTGCCGGCAGTGTTGCCCTCGACGGCGGCAGCAGCAACGGCCATGTTGCTGGCAGCGAAGCCCATGGGCATCATGGGCTGCAGATAGGTGTAGCGCGCCAGCAACAGTTGCTCGGAGACAATGCGCAGCTCGTTCTGCTGCTGCATGATCAGCTTCTGCAGCTCGTCGTGCTTGCGCTGCAGCTGATCCTGCAGCTGGCTCTGCGTGGAGGTCATGACCACGGCGCCCGGCAGCAGCTCCGATTGCGTCTGCATGGGCAACGGCGACAGGACTGGTGCCACAGGAAACGGCGCCATCACCGGCTGCATCGGTATGGCTGCGAGGTACTGCGGAGGCTCCAGGAAGCTGGGCGCCACCAGCTGGGGGCTGGTCAGCGGATAGCTGGACTGTGGAAACTGGCAGGCGTTGCTCGTGACAATCTGGGTGGTTGCCAGCGGCATGGGCAGGATTTTGGGCGCACCAGTGCTCTGCTGCAGCTGCAACTGTTGCTGGTGCAGATGGTGCTGGGCGAGCTGCTGATGCTGCAACTGTTGCTGTTGCTGCTGTTGCTGCTGCTGCTGAGAGTGTGAGTTTTGCTGCTGCTGCTGCTGTTGTTGTTGTTGTTGCTGCTGCTGTGGATGCTGCTGCTGATGCTGCTGTTGCTGCTGCAGCTGCTGCTGCCGTTGCTGCTGATGATGCGAACGATGACGCTGACTTTGCTGCAGGTAGAGGAACAGAGATAGAGATAGAGCCAGAAACCAGGCAAAGTCCATGTGCTTACCGAGCTGACATGCGTCATCAGCGACTGGCGGCTGATCACAGAATCTGCGGACATGGAGGTGGAGTCGGACTCGTTGCCTCTGTTGTAGAAGTAGCACTTGCGCTTGGCTTTCGGCGAGATGCCCGTGGAGCTGATGTTGCCGTAGCTGGAAGCGGGCCGCGAGGTCTTCACCGAGTTCAGCTGGCAGGTGCTGGCAGCAGGCGCCGCGCCCGTCGACCACATGGGCGACGAGTCCACAGTGGGCGACGTGGCGGCGGCCACCTCGTTGCTCAGATTGGCCAGCGTGTTGCCGAGCAGCGCGCTGTCCAGGTTCTGGTTGCTGAGCTCAAAGTCGCGCAGCGTGGTCGTCGCCGAGGCGCACTTGCTGCTGCTGGAGGAGGTGAGCGCCTTGGTGGGCTTCTGTCGCTCCTTGTGGTTCTGCTTGATGACCTCCGCATGGCTGACCACCTTGTGCGTGCACACCACATAGTCCGGCTTCGAGTTGTACTGGTGGTAGCTCACGTAGTAGTCCGTCTGCAGCCAGATCCACTGCTGGCCCTTGGTCAGGAAGCGGTAGTAGCAGGACTTGCCCTCGCCCGTCTGGCGCACTGAGAGAGGGAGAGTTGGGGATTAGAGGGACACTTAAAGGCCTGTGTGCTGCCGCTGCTTACACTCTTCGTGGCAGGCCACAATGCTGTCCAGGTCGTCGAAGTGGTAGTAGTCGTAGCCCGAGGTGCCCAGCACCTCGAAGGGCATGTACCCGATGATGGGCGGCGCCCGATGGTCGAGGAAGAGGAACTTCCACTCCATGCTGTGCTTCGAGGTGAACTCGTTGCTGGTTGGATCGATGATGCTCATCTCGCGTATTAGCTGCGGCGTCTGTATGCGTCCCGTGCCCACAAAGACCAACTTCCTGTCCAGCTCAACGCCCGGATGCTGCTGAAAGATGCGCGGCAACGTCAGCTGGCTGCTGTTGCTCTGGCCGTCCGAGTGGGCGCTGGTGTCGTTGCCTGTGGAGAAGAGCTTAGTTTAAGTAACTCGGCTCGCGTGCGACTGCTCGACTACCTACGAAAGTAGCCCACGAATTTGACCAGCTCATAGGAGTTGGCATCGACCTTCTCCAGGCCGCCGCGCTTCAGATGCGTGTAGAAGGTAATCTGATTGCTGGCGCTGATGTCCGTCTGGCGCGGCTCGATGACGGGCGTGGGATTCAAGAAGATGTTCAGCAAGGCCTCGTGATCCATCTCATAGGCCAGATCATAGATGCTCATGTTGTACAGATCTTGCTGAAGGTACACAAAATAGATGTGAATTTTGGTATACTCTTTGCTTAGGTGGCGCCACCTACCGGCAGATAGCCCAGCTGCGAGGTAATGCTCTCCGACGCATAGAATATGGAGCCCACACTGCTAAACACCATCATAAAGCCATCCAGAGACTCCAGCATCAGGTGCGTGAATTCGTCATTTGTGAGAAACGTGGGCTTCCATTCCGGCTGGATCTCAAACACTTTCGATCTGTCCGTTGCCTCTGCGTGGGGCAAAAAGGAAAAGAAAGACAGATTTTCAATTTGAATTCCATCTCTATTCGTAATCCCTTACCATTGTGATTCTTTAGGAATGCTATTGTGGATTTGAGCACTGTGGATTTGTCCATTTTGCGATTCGATGTGGTTATCAATGCACTCAAATCGTTCACCAGCGAATTGAACTGATCCCGTCGCTTCTTCTCGCTCAAATTGCGGGACTTTCTGCAAAGTAGACTTCGGGTTAACCAAAGAGAACGATGTTAAGATTAACTATATATGATAACGGCAAATCATAAAGGAGGGGAGGGAGGTACATTGAGATTAGCTCAACTGTAAAAGGATTCCTAAAAGTAGCCAACCCCCACACTGACACACACACACACACACACACACACGCACACTCATGGAACAGCTGCTCACCTTTGGCCCACGTGTGTGGTGCGCTTGATGCTTTGTCTGGCGTTTATTAGACAAATCCGCCCACATGCTCACACACACACACACATGCTTAGGCAATTGATGTGAGTGGGTGGAGTGGGCTGTATTTGGTTGCGTAGCTCTAACTGTGCCTGTGACTCTGACTCTGACTGTATCTGAGGCTGTGGGCGGGGTTTCTCATTCCCTTTCCCTTTCCCTTTTTTTTGTGTCAGTTCTATTGTCGCTTTGCATTCGTTGCGCTAGAGCAAACATTTTTGGGCATCGGGTTTTGCATTTGACATTTGCGTGTCAATAAAATGAAACGCATACAGAGCAACTTATGAAGCAATGCAATGGGAATGAGACAGTGAGAGAGAGAGAGAGAGAGAGAGAGAGAAAGCTATCTATCTAGTTGTTTATGTCAATTCCTGGAATCGGAGCCCATTGAGCAGGAGAGGACGAGTAAAAGAAATCAGGATAACTCATGCCACAGCATGCAGTTGCCTTGGCTTAGTCAGTTCTTATTCACTCGGTTAGTTTATTAAACGGATTTAGATACAATTTACTTCTCTGTTACTTTTTTTTAACAGACAGAACTTGCCGAGTTAACCAATCAGGATAAAGTTTTGCCGCTCGAGCGTTGTTTCGATATATTTTAGTGAATTATGAGTACTTTTCAATATATACTCCTATTATTATATATATATATAGTATCGATATGTATATGTTTACTTTAAATATCTGTCTATCCGTTGATTACATACATATACATATATACATATACATCGAACTATTCATCTCTTACATTCGTCTCTCACATATTCCATATGCTTCATGGCCAACTTCTAGATATCCATCCATTACCTATCCTCAACTTCACAAATACATAAATATCAGTTTCAGTTATAATATTTCCTTATCTCTTTATGTATGTATATAGAATATTTATAAATATTGCTATATAATATTTAATATGTATATTTGTTTATCAAGCAATTTCTTTCATAATTTGCAGCTCAACAAAATTTTTCGGAAATTTTAATTCTCAAAGCAATTTTCATTAACCACACAACAGTCGAAAGACCTTTTCCGCAAGAGAGAGAGAGAGAGAGAGAGGGGGAGAGAAAGAGTGCGAGCGAGGCAATATATAAGTTTTGTATATGTTATGCATATACTCTTATTTTTTGCTTTTCCCTACATATTTATATTCATATAACCTAATTCTTGCCTGTCTGCCTGGGCCTCTCTCTCTCGCTCTCTCTCTACCCCTTCCCCTTCTCGTTGCTCTAGAGTTACTAATTTGATATCTATTTGATTGCAAGACAAGCTCAGCGCGCTTACATGGTATTATACAATATCCAAGACAAAAAGACAATTATTTATTATCAAACCTAATTACAATATATATATATATATATATCTACCTATATATAATTTTATATAAAGAGCGACATATAACGAATTCGGTGAATGTCCAAAAAACAAATAACGCTCAAATTTCAGTTAATTAAAGTTCGGAATTGGACTTTACTTCGCTTTCGATTATTAAAGGTGTCTATTACCTGGACAAAGTGTGCACAAAATTTGCCAACTAAGCCAGTTTTTTCGTCTGTGTTTCAGTCTGTCAGCCAGCCGTGGAACGGGGCCAGAAGGGTGGGAAAAGGCAGCCCTTGCCGATTATGACATAGCAAACATATAACCAGAAACGAAACAAAATGAATTAACACACATTTCAGGCGGCTCTACTTATGCAAATATTTCATTTAGGTCTGATCGTGTTTGGAATTACTGGAAATTATTCAAAAAAAATTTATGGTAATAATAATAAGTCAGTTAGCTATGAAGTAATTAAGAATTGAAAATATCGGTGAAATGGTTTAAATAGCAAAGAATGGAGGATTAGAGAAGGCTGCCTGAATATCAGTGAAAAACATCTCTATTCGAACTAAAAATATATAAAATAATTTCATTAAAAAGTTTGCTTATTGTCGGCTAAATGTTGGCTTCTTCTGCTTTCAAATATATTTATTCCATTTTATTTTATTTTTTTTTACCAACTTGAAGTTTTGAAATATAATTTATTTCATAATGCGTATATTTATATTATATTATACATATACATATTTTATAAAATATATAAATATTTATATAACAAAAAATATTGTGTATATATATTATTATTTATTTGTTATTTTTATTTATTTTATTTATTTATTTATTGTTATCAAGAAATTATTATAAATAACAATTTGTTAAGCCAGAGCGACAATGACGCTCAGGTAATTATTTATTGGTATATATATTATTATATTAATAAAATAAATAATAAATAATATTAGATATTATTTGCATAAATTTTATTATATTAATAAAATAAATAATAAATAATATTACATATCATAAAAATAATTCATATTTAATATCCACATAAGCAGCATTGATTACTTTTCTATAACATTTGATTCTTTCTCGAAATATCTTGAACAATTTAGAATACACCAAAGAATATACTGGTATACCTAAAAGAAAACTCTCAAATCTTGTGTAACTTCTCTATTGCTATAAATAGAATCACACGTTTTTCGATTCTATCAAAATATATAAAGTTAAATGGAGTGGAACTGACTTCAGAATGAGTTCAGTATGATATTAATATCATACGCAGAAGAATTTACAAATTGAAGCTTTCGCTTAAAGCTCCTCGAGCAAAGCTTTTTCTACAGAGTATTCTAGTTTTGGTGTTGCACAAATAATATACATATGTATAATTATGCCCGCTTGTTTCTATTTCACTTTGTTGTGTTTTTCTCTCAGTTGTTGTTGCTTCTGTTTTGTCTACGTCTTTGAATCATAACTGTCAATTGCAGTGCGGCCCACCCACAGCAGTTCTGTGATGTAGTTCACATGAATGCATATCTGTATATGTATGTATATGTGTGTATATGATTTTTATAATATATATTTATTACCCACCTTTTCGTGTCATCCTTATCATCGCTTTCGTCGTCCATTTTCGTATTTATTAGATAATCCACTTCCAGATTGTTGATAAATATTTTTATATATATATTTTAATTTAATAACGAAATGCAAGGAACGAAAAAAAAAAACACACACAGCTTTGCACTAAAAGTTTGTTCAGTCCGCAATTTAAATATTTACATAGTTCTTTCTTTTTTAGATCTTAAAATTTCTTTATTGAATTTGAATTTTCCGCTTAGGTGACGTTCACACGGCAGCTGAGTTCCATTTGTTTAAATATTTCACACATTTTGTCAGTATTCTTTATTTTACAGTTAGCTCTGAGCTGTGGGAAATTTAAAAGAATTTTTTTGTTAATTTTGATATATTTTTTTAACACTTTTCTATATTTTTTATTTATATTTTATCAGTATTTTTTTAATGCGCTGAATTTCGCGTACCGTCAGCAACAAGTGCAGTTGAACATCTACTGCTGTGGCCTTTCAATGAAACTTAGCTCTCGACAATGCGCAAACACACACAGACATACACACACACACATACGCACACATACATCAGGGCATTGTTCACAGCTTTATGCTGTTGGCAGCAGCCGCATCATCCTTCATCAAGAAATTTCCGTTGCTGCTGTCGCTGCTGCTGCCGCTGCTGCTGCTGCTGCAATTACGTAACTCTCTGCTGCGCCTGCGCATGTGTTCAGCAGTTAGTGCCCTGTGCCCAATGGGCAGCGGGCGAGCGCCAATCATTGCAGCGGTGGCAGATGCTGCACTTTGCAACCCCTAAAAAGTATGCTACGTTATTTTGCGCCTCTTACTAAATGCGACAGCGAATGCCATAACAACCTTTTAAATGAACTGTTGTTGTACGAGTGTAGAGACAGACTATGTGAGTGTGTGTGTGTGTGTGTGGGTGAGTGTGGGTATAGCAGCTGCTAACCAAATGCCAACCAATTGGCTGCGTTTGCCCGTGCCCTACACACATATTGCATAATCATGCGTGTGTATGAGTGCGCGTGTGTATCTGTGTGTGTGTGTGACACTACATTTTCCAGCAGGTGATGTATATATATACCATATATATTGAATGCTAATGGCTTAAGTCAACTGCTCGCGCTTTTTAGCATCTGCAGCATAACAATCGTTTGCTTAATTGCAAAATATTGCTGGGGCTTCGAGCTGAGTAAAACTTTCACTGCTTTCGCTATGTGTGTGTGTGTATTGGCCAAAAGAAAATGTCAAAGAAAAGGTGTTGCTATTGCGAAGTCGTTTTTGCATTTGCCAGGCTTTGCAGCTGGCCAAGTTGTTGCCTTAATTAAAAGCGTTGCCGGCAAACGGCTTTAAACATGCTGAAAACAAGCGGCTTAAAAACGCACTCACACACATGCAACTGCCTCTGTGTCTGTGTGTGTGTGTGTGTGTGTGTGCGTGTTTGTTGACTGCTGCTGTTTAATTAATCCGTTTAGCCATTTGTCCGGCCAAGCATTTAACGAATCATAATTTCCCACATGTATTCAACAGTTGCAGCACAACAAACACTTTAAATACACATCAAAGCCAACAACGCCGACAGCTTTTGCCCACCTCCACAGCCACCACCTGGGCGACAGGTAAGTTCTTGTTGTTGCAAGTGTTGGCTGGTTAACCCTAAGTAGCAATCGTTGCTGTTGTTGTTGCTGCGGCTCTAGCAACTGGTTGGGTTCAGCTTACGTGCTGTGTGGTTTTGCCCAGCTTTAAAAAATAATCACACACACACACACTCATGCACACACACACAAAATTGTTACCGCTGATAATTGCCAACGTGTTGTTTAATAGCTCGAATTGCAATTAGTGCGGTTTGTTGCCTGCCAATGGCCAATAGACTAACAGAAGGCTGAGACTGGGACAGATGGAGTGGCTGAAGATTACAAGGAAAAGGGGCGGAGAGCGGTGCATAGGTCAAGAAGGCTGAAGCTAAAATTGAACAACTATGTAAGCAAATGATTGATATGACTTACTGATCTAGTTTGTGGGCTTAAAGAGCTTACAAG